GCCATACTTTTGCTCCCTCCGCAGAAGAGTGACTGACCGCAGCAGGAACCTATGGCTCTGCTGCTCTCTTTTTCCTGTGAAGGGTGCAGTGCTGAAGCTGGTGACAGGACCTAGGTTTGGGGTTGAGTGAGGGCTAGGACAGATAGTGGGGATGTGTGTTTTTTTTTTTTTTTTTTTTACCTTAAAGTGTTACTAAGCCCATAACAGTAAAATCTGACTGTATATGCAGTAAAGCATGTTTGTTATACTCACTGTGGAATCTAAGAGGTTACTCATCCACATTGGGTAAAAAGGATGTTTGATCCTCTCTTCTCTGATCCTCACCTTCTTCCAGTGTCTCCTAATAGAACAAAGGTCAGGGGCAAGCTGCATATGCTCATTTTGCTAGCGAGTTTGTTTTTTTTTTCTTGGGAGAGTGCACGTGTTCGGCACTGTCCAGACAGAGGTCAGGGTTCCTGCATCCTCCTACAGGAGAATGAAAACTCCTCCTACAAGCTTTAACTAATGCTTTGCTGGACACTGATAGAAGTCACAAGACTGCTGTAACTGCTGATGAAGAAAGGTATTTAGCAGTTTATAGTTACTAAAATAATTGCACTTCCATGTTGTGTGTTCTGTGGGAGACCAGATCTAGTGAATGCAGGGTCCTGGGTTTAGTAACACTTTAATGCAGAGAATGTATTAAGGTAAAAAAACATTTAGACTTTTCACCTTCACTACTTTAACCGCCTCCCACCCGCCATATAAGGAAATGACGGACGGAGCGGCGGTTTCTCTTGTTCTGGGAGGACGTCATATGACGTCCTCACACTCTAATCGGGCGTGCGGTGATCGGTGGTGCTCTGTGTCCCTGGGACACAGTGGATCACCGATCAGCTGAAGAGCGGATGACGTCGGCTCTGTTATGTGATCAGCTGTGTCCAATCACAGCTGATCGCATATAAATAAGGAAATGCCAGTTATCGCCATTCCTCTCCTCATGAACTGTCACGCTGATAGCTTTGAGGAGAGGAGAGCTGGTAATTGGCATTCCTCAGAGGGGACATGTACACTGATCATCAGGGCACTGATGATCGGTGTAGCCCCATCAATGCCAGATATCAGTGCCTACCAGTGCACATCAATGCCTCATATTGGGGCCCATCTGAGTGCCATATGAGTGATGCCTTTCAGTGCCCATCAGTGATGCCTGTCAGTGCCCTTCAGTGCCACCTGTCTATGCCCATCAGTGCCTCTTCATCCATGCCTATCAGTGCAGCCTCATTAGCACATCAGTGAAGGAGAAAAATCACTTATTTACAAAATTTTAGAAAAGAAACTAACAAAACTTTTTTTTTCAAAATTTTCAGTTTTTGGTTTGTTTATCAAAAAATAAAAAACCCAGAGGTGATTAAATACCACCAAAAGAAAGCTCGATCTGTATCAAATTATAAAAATGTCATATAAGTACAATGTTGCATGACCGCGCAATTGTCATTCAAGGTGCGACAGTGCTGAAAGCTGAAAATTGTTTGTAGCTAATGCTGCCTACATTCATCTATTTATATATTTTTCCCACTTTTTGCATTCCTTTCCCTTACAGTTCAATATGAGAGCATATTTTGATCTGAGTATGTACATTTGTTAGGCCATGTGTGTTGTTTAAGCTGAACTCCAGGCAAGCTGCTAAAACACATTTGTAATAGATATGTGGGAGATGATTCACCTGCCAAAATATATGTAAGTCTGTCCATCCGTTCTTGAGTTTTACACAGCCTTACCAGACAGCACAGGCAGGTTGGTGACTTGACTTTTCTGTACTGTAGTTAAACAAAACAGGTCACCACCCTGTCTGTAATTGGACAGTGAAGGAGCAGTAGTAAACTGATAACTTATGCCTTTGCTCGCACCTTCTGTTGGTATTCTCTTGTTGGCAAATGTGCGTGCAGCACAGTACTGACCCTCCCAAGCTCTGTCAATGCCGCTGCTCAATAGGACCAATACAAGTTTAACAGAGAAGTGCGGGAAACTGAAATAATAAACATACATACTCACCTAGATCAGATCAGTACTGCAGCTGTACCCTGCTGGCTCTACACTGAAAACTGAGCAAGCGAAAACTGCTGATTGCGTAGTTCTCGGATCCACTCTGAGCACAAAGCAGTGACTGTTAGTCATCTTCTCTCTGCATTGCGCCTCCAGCTCTTAATGGAGTGCTGGACTGTGGAGGGGGCAGGAGCTGCTGGCTCAGGCTGTCAGCCATGTGCCGAGAGGCTGATTAAGCTGCCAGTCAGGCATCAGGGCGGATCCCTGTATTATTGTCGGGATCCCTGCACAGCCTGGATTGGCTCTGTGACATCAGCTGACATCCAACTGCTGTCGGCTAAGTCTGGGTCACAGGTGTGCAGAGCTAAGTGCACTCACGTGACCCACAGTAGAAGTATGGCCAAAAGAGCTTTGGCCATACTACTTTCAATTTATAGTCCTTCTACTAGTAGCCTTGAAGGAGGTTTATTTTTATTAAATGTAGACCTACATTATTTTCCATTTGGGGCTTACACGTGGTTTGTTCTTTGGTGGAGGGAGCAGTGAATTTTAGCAGCTGGAGTGTCCAGTTCAATGTCTTTCACAAAATGGAGTGCTCGGCACAGTCCTTGAGGCAGTGTCTGGGTTTGTGAGTATGGGACTTTTATTTTAACAATTTTTAGTGACTTTGAGGAAATATGCAAACATTTTGCTATAAATAAATATTGGTGATTCTTACCCAGTGACCAAATGAGTGGATTTGAATTGCGTAATGCATCATAGACTGATAAAAAGATGTCACTGTAAGTGTATGCTTGCACAGTTCTCCATCTTTTAGTCTTGTTTTGAGAAGTTGTATATGGGCGTCCAGAAAACGTTGCTGATTTAATGGCCTTGTTGCACTGAGTGTGACCTGCAAGGGTGATGTTAGATTTCTAGAGTGGCAAAGTTTAAATTCATGTGAGGTTTTATCTTCACGTTAACAGACGTCTCATAGACTGGCCCCCTCCCTCCAAACCAAAGCCACATTAGCCCATGTGCGTCAGCTAGAGATTTATTGCAGCTTTGGATTACTGAAAACAGACGTACGTGCAGTGGGCTCCTGTGTTAACTCTACTTTTAAGTTAATTGTTTGAGTCTTGGCCAGGCAGGGGTTAAGATAAGTACAGAGGAAATGTTAATAGATTGAGCTTTTCCGAATGGTACATCCAATGGAAGACTGGTCTAACTTATAAAAAGGCAGACATGTTGGAATCAACTGAAACATGGCCCAAATAGTGCAAGTAATAATAAAGGGGCCACGTTATGTCTGCTAAGAGCCACACCTATGGAAAATGGAAAAGTAGGTATTTAAAATTATAATAATTGTGCAAACAATATTTCTTTCAAAAGGAAGGGGCAATAAAATATTTCCTGAAGTATTTACCTACAAAACTATGCAAGGAATCTGGAGAAAAGCTTGGACCTCATTCACTTAAAACCATTAAATTGCATATCTAGGCAAAATAAAAAAAAAACAAACCACACATTTAGTACATTTCTCCAATGCATGCATTTCGCTGTGTAAAAATGTTGCAAATGGGGAAAAAATACCTGCCATTTCTTACCGAAATCAAGTGAATCCCCTAAATCCCATTTTTGCTACTGCTACACTAAAATCCAAGCAGTCTTATCAGACAGTTCTCCAATTGGAATACAGAGCGCCCTCCTCCTTATTATAGAGATGAAAGGGAAGGTTTTCTGTTGTCCGTAAAAGTAGAACTCTGCAGGGCTTATGGCTGTGTGTGGGGTTTTGGTGCTGCAGATTAGCTGAAATGTTTGTGACAGAATAAAAAGGTATTTTTAATGTACTTGCAGCATTTTGCAAGAACTTAGAAAAATGCACATTTAATGGTTTTAGGCCCCTTTCACATGGATGCTTTTATCAGGTCTACATGTCCGTTTATCAGGTGGACCTAATCAGAAGCTCCATTTTAATGTATGGGCAGCGTCATGCATCGGTGTACATTCAACTACCCCATAGTCAGGCCAGATCTGAAAAAGGTTTGCATCCTTTATCAGTCTTTTTTTTTTCTTTGTATCAAAATGGAATGGAGGTAACTGTTTAGATTCTGCCATCTATAGATCCAACTTGAGTCTCAAAAGCTTCAGTTTGTAAATGGTGTCATAAAAAAAGTGTCACAAAAGAACTTCCATCCTGTTCTGCTCCAGTTCAGCAGGTGATTTGTCCAAGGATCTCTTGCTGATCCAACCAGATGCTACCCCTGTGATTGGAGCTTTACTGAATGTCTCCATCCACACCCCAAACATACTTTTAAACAAACTAAAAATCAAAAATACTACATAATTACAAAAATCAGTGTAATGTTTGCCTTGTATCTTGTCAGGCAAAATGGTAATGAACGGACTTGATACCCAGAATTGACCTTAACCTTGAGAGCAGGGATGGACATTAATGCATGCACAGTTCTTCTACACTGAGGGCAAATTGTCCACAAAGCGAATAAAATATGTACGAGACATCATGCACATGGACGGTTTGAGGCTGAAAAAAGATGCAGTCCTGTAAAATCCCAGCATTTTCTGTGCCCAGGAAGCAGCAGGTCATGTGTACAGCTGGTCCTAGAAGCAAAAAGCTGTATGTGCTTGTACTCCTGATATCTGCTGATGCTTTTGTGCATTGGCGCAAATACATGAGTGTATGATGTATTTCACAAATGCAGAATTTATGCATATGAGAAATACATCACACTCATATTTTTTTGCTAATGCATGGAAAAAAAAATATATATATTTTTTGTGCATATAATGGTTTGGTTTGTATGAAACAAACAAGTTAATATTACTCTTTAATGAGCCTTTGTGTTCTAGGTTAGGTGGTTTTTATAGCAAACCAGTTGTATTCTGTTTTGGTGCTGCAATTACCCTGTCAGTTGAATGCCGTTTTTTTATTTATTTTTTTTCTTATTCCCCCCCCCCCCCCCCATCTTTTTATAGGCGTTGGTGGAATGAGCGTTGCATGTGTCTTGAAGAGGAAAACAGTTCTCTGGCAGGACTCCTTCAGCCCCCACCTGAAACAGTACACAGAAGGTACCCTTAACCACAACATGCCCGTGGTCCTGACATCTGGACCTGTGGGCCAGCAGCAGCCGCAACAGCTTCCGACTCATTCTGCACTGGCTACAGGACCCCACGCAAGCCCTGTGGGCAGCTCAATGGGAGTGGCTGGGCGCTCACAAGATGACGCAATGGTGGATTACTTCTTTCAAAGGCAGCATGGAGAACAGTTAGGGGGAGGCGGAAGTGGTGGTGGAGGTTACAATAACAGCAAGCATCGTTGGCCTACTGGAGATAATATACATGCGGAACATCAGGTAAGCAAACACATTTGGTAAAAGATTTAATAAAAAGTTTATGCTTTTCCGGGGCTTCACAATTCCTGTGAACTAGGGTGTCAATGTGCATTAAAATTCAGGGCAAAATGACAGGTTCTGCTTAAAGCCTTCACCCCAGGTATAACCATGTTCACAACACTCTCCTACCGCTACTGCCATTACAGTTGCCACAAAAAAAAAACCTGGAACCTGCATGTCTGTATCTCCTAATACTGTGCTAGTGACCAGTTGCTAGGCCCGAATGCTGTATCATGACAAATGAAGTGATGTAATTACTCTCTGTAAAATCTAACACCTTTTGGAAGCACTGTGGAGGTGAGTATAAGTATGAGTCACCATGGTGACAGGGTCTCTTGAAAACAGACATCTAGTAGTTTTGTTTTTTTTGTTTTTCTGCTGGCCCCTAAATGAGCAAAAACTCTTGTTTCTGCATTTTGGTAAGCTTGCCAAATTTACAATGGTACCCAATGGGGTGGATTACTAAAACAACATACCTTTTTAAATGTCTTCTGAAGTGGTCTGTGTGCTCCTCATCTTAGAAAGATCTTACATGTAAAGTAGCATTACCCAGTAGCTTTTGTGGCACATTATCCCCATGCTTTCCTGTTGGCCATTAAAGGTGTTTACCATAGTAATGGGCCACTAGAAAGATGCTGGAGCAGATAGGCCAGCTCTTGAGATTACCAACAGATGTCAATGTTTAGACCCTGCTGAAATGTGAGATACCTGGAGCTTTCCAGAATACAGCTAATATGTGCCTGTAAAAAGTGAGTCTTGTTACCTGTTTAGTACCATTAAGGTTCTGTTCTTAAAAATAAATATATACACAGAACTGCATGTGTGAATGGAATAGATGTGAATAGAGAAGTCCTGTATTTCATATTTTATTCATACAGTACAGGATAGAAGTATGATATTCCTATACCCTGGCTATAGGCTGGTAGCTTCAGTTGATTAGAAACTGGCGAAGCTTTTGAGAAAACCCCCACCGGGCATCTCCCTATAGCCCTAGGTGAGGGACCACTTCTTTAACCTGGCCTTAGATAGAGCGACAGGTTGCAAGAAAGAAAATCACATGGTTCCCCCATCAGTAGCCAGGGATGGGGGAATCCCTCCCATGGGGCCAATGTGTCTCCCACTGGGAAAACACAGTGATTACTACTAGCGTCTGTAATAGCCGCTAGCAATAATTATATGTAAAATCCGACAGGCTGGATGTGCCCAAATTGATCGATTTAACTTTAGTACATTCAGCCTGCCTATACATGGTTCGAATCTTGGCCAATCCCTGCTGAACTGGCTGAGATTCAAGTCACCTATGGCTGGCTTTACAGAGAATTTGCTTTTATTGTAATTAGTTTATTATTTGACTTTGGGTTCTTCAATCAGCTCAATATCTTCTAATACAACAATAGAATCCGTGCAAGTTTATGTTATTTCCGTAAAGCCTTGGACCCAGACCCCACAGCCTGTAATGTTGCGAGCACTGGATCCTGCTTGGACACTCATGTTGCAACATGTGTGATTAGCCTTAGGGCGCTATGCAGATTCCAGAGCTGTGATCTACCCCCATGGGACCCAGACTCTGAAGACCCCCTGTATGCCCATTGTGTTGGGTGAAGCCTAGACCTTTTACAGTGGGGAAAATACTTATTTGATCCCCTGCAGATTTTGTAAGTTTGCCCACTTACAAAGAAATGAGTTGCAGTTCAGTAAAATAAGTATTTAATCCCCAAGCAAAACATGACTTAGTACTTGGTGGAGAAACCATTGTTGGTAAGCACAGAGGTAAGATGTTTCTTGTAGTTGGTTAGCAGGTTTACACACATCTCAGGAGGGATTTTTGTCCACTCTTCTTTACAGATCATCTCTAAATTCTTATGGTTTCTTGGCTGTATGGCAACTTGAAGTTCCAGCTCCCTTCATGAATTTTCTATAGGATTAAGGTCTGGAGACTGACTAAGCCACTCCATGACCGTGTTCTGGTTGAGGGAAGAAGATTCTCATCCAAGATCTTATGGCCCGTCCATTGGCCCCTCAATGTGGCAAAGTCGGCCTGTACCTTTTGGCAGAGAAAACGCCCAAAGCATGATATTTCCACCTCCGTGCTTGACTGTAGGGATGGTGTTCTTAGGGTCATAGTCAGCATTTTTCTTCCTCCAAACACTGCGAGTCGAGTTAATGCCAAAGAGCTAAATTTTGGTCTCGTCTTACCACAGCACTTTCTCCCAAATCCTTCTCTGAATCATTTAGATGTTCATTGGCAAACTTCAGACGGGTTTGTACATGTGCCTTCTTGAGTAGGGGGACCTTGCAGGTGGTGCAGGATTTCAATCCATGGCGGCGTATTGTGTCACCAATGGTTTATTTGGAGACTGTTGTCCCAACTGCCTTGAGATAATTCACAAGCTCCTCCCATGTAGTTCTGGGCTGATTCCTCACTTTTCTCATGATCATCCTTACCCCATGAGGCGAAATCTTGCATGGAGCTCCAGACTGAAGGGCGATTTATGGTTTTGTATTTCTTCCATTTGCGGATAATCGCTCCAGCAGTTGTCGCCTCACAAAGCTTCTTGCTGATGGTCTTGTAGCTCATTCCAGCCTTGTGCAGGTCTACAATCTTGTCCCTTTGACAGCTCTTTGGTTTTGCCCATAATGATGGTGAGCTTTGAATGGAAGAAAGAGATTCTGTGGACAGGTGTCTTTTATACACATGAGTTGTTGTTGTTAGAAGCACCTTATTAAAGCGGAGCTCCTCCCAAAAGGGAAAGTTCTGCTTTAAGGAAAGGTAGCTGCAAGCTGTCACATCCGGATGCCCACACTAAAGATGCTGGCACGGGAAACACAGGACGGCCAGTGAAATGGGCTGCGGGGAAGACACTGCAGGATCGAGGGACAGGTGACTGGCTGTTTATAGTCTCACTGGAACTAAGCTTTAAATTGACAGGACTAATTTTGTAGCACATGAGCACATAGCCAGTTTGTGGGAACCAGAATTATTGTTGGTTAGTAGGGGATCAAATACTTGTTTTACTCACTAAACTACAACTCAATTTGTATCATGTGTATTTCTGTATTTTTGGTTTTGGTTGATATTCTGTCTCTATCATTTAAAATACACCTATGATAAAAAATATAGACCCTTCATTTCTTTGTAAGTGAGCAAACTTACAAAATCTGCTGGGGATCAAACAATTATTTTCCACCACTGTATATAGGGACCAGCAACATGGACAGTTAGGACAAGGTCACCCAGTTTCTTTGGCTGTTACTGTAGTCCCACAGCAATTATGAAACATCGAAGTCCCCCTTCACAGCCCCCCTTACTTGCATCTCTGTCCCCCCTTGCACCCCCAGTCCCCCTTTTAAACCCTCCTTTTTTGTATACTGTTCCCCCTTCACACCCCTCACCTTCCTTCCTTGCAGCCAAGTCCCCTTTATACAGTTAGGTCTATATATATTTGGACAGCGGCACAATTTTCATACTTTTGGCTCTGTGTGCCACCAGAATAAATTAAAATGAAACAATCCAAATGAATTTGAAGTGCAGACTTTCAGCTTTAATTCAAGGGGTTAAACATACATAAAGTACAAATTTTAGGAACTGCAACCATTTTTATACACAGTCCCTCCTGTAGCAATTGTGCGCACAGATAAGGACGCGGACAACCATTTTGCTAAGATCCACCATCTTGTGTCATTCTCACTCCAAATCAATCCCCCCTCCCTTTTTTTTTTTTGAATGGCATGTGGTCTGTGTGTGCTGAGTTCAGGAGTGCACAGGGCACAGCTGGATACACTTCATGGTTGTAAAGCCAATTGGCTGATTCCATGGTGTCTGTCAGACTCCAGCTCTGGCCTGATCGTAAAGCTATAAATCCGTCAGTCACTGGACATGAAAAGCACTCCGGAAGTAGCAGTAAAACATACATTCCACTGAAATCTCTTTTTCATACAAATCCATAACTCCCGACAGAACAAAGTACAATAAAACAAAGCATATATTCAGGTAGGACATTTTAATTCAAGTCACCTGATAGCTTACACCCCTAGATAACGTCTACCCGAGAGCAGAAAACAATCTCTTTAACCGTCACAGGCAGATATGTCATATCTGGTGTCTGGACGTTCAGCAGATGATTCTGCATATTATCCTACCAATGAATAGGATGCTACATGTACCTATGGAAGGTTATTAACATGGTATAAACTTGGGAGGGATCTGGGTCTCCGCCTAAACCCCCTCCCCAAATAAGGCGATTGGCCCTTGGCTTCAGTAGACACCCCCTGCTGGGTCACTAGAAAACAGGCTGTCAGGCCTGGAGATGAAGAAATTCTCCCTTAACATCAGGAACCAACTTTGGGAGAAAAGGCACCCTTTTGTTCGGACACTTGAACGCTGCTTAAACCAGGACCTCTGCAAGTATTCTACCTGCTTAAACTTCTTTCTTTTATCTCTCTGTTGTGTTATTGCTTTCTCTATTTATTTATATATTGTGGGGTTAGCTCAGGTGGGGGGGATCACCTTCCCTGGGAAAAAGGGTAGACCGCACAGCAGGCTTCCTTAAAATCTGACTGGTTGTCAGCTTTATTTACAGGTTTGCAAAACCTCAAAATAAACAAAATATCAAAAAAAAAAAACCTTGCCATCCAGGCACTAACTAAACATGAGACATTTCCTCTGAGGTGAAGGGCTTCTCCCTGTCACCCAAAACAAAAGCAAACCTTTTCTTGTGGGTATAGTGCACACACACAGCTCTCTCAGAATACCTCTCTGAGTCCCAGGCCACGAGCGACTCTTTGCTCCAGCCCTTCCTTTTTTATACCACCTGTTGGTGGTCATCAGTGGAGCACAAAATCCGGTCCGGAACCACCTCTGCCATTGTGGCCCCGAAAACCCGGAATGGACTCCACCTTACACTTCACAGTATGACCTCATGCAAGGTGATACATATCGTCCATCCAACACCTTGCCGTTC